TAGTATGTTACACAGTGGATCGTGTCTCCTGCAGTGCATGTCTCTGGATAAAAGCAGCTTCCTCCTGTTGGAAGTTTTTTCTCTCCTCCCTCAAGTTCTGGGCATTTTTTCTTCCTGTTCAGCTACCTCACTCTTCCTCCTCCTGCAAAGTCTTCACCCAGACCTGCTGCACCGCCTGTTCACCAGCATTTACTGCTTGTTGAAAAGGTCTTCCCAATTCATTTGCATGTTATGGGGCAACTTTCTGTGAACCCCCTGCCCCAAAACCTCTTTCTTTCCCTCCTTTGGGACACAGCCTGGGAGGGTCTTTAGCCTAGCGAGGCTCATGCATCTCTGGGGGCTGGGCAGCATCTCTCTGTGGTGAGGGGACACCCTTACTCATTCAGGACTGTTCAGGGTGTTCTCGCCCCAGGATTCATCCCACACAACGATGAGGCTCTGTTTGAGCCTGATGTCTCCTCTCTTCTCCTTCTGACATCTTTTCCTCTGGCTTCACCCAGTGTTTCCCCTCCCTCCCCACCTCTGCCTATTCAGCTTTCTCCTCTGTCTCACCCAGTGCATAGGCTCTGTTGCAGACACAGGCTCCCTTTAACTCTGCCACGCTTTTTCTCTGCGGAAACCTTCTGCATGTGCATACAATCCCCAGTCCCTTCTTGTCTGTCCCCCATTCCCTGCCTGAGCACCCCTGGCCTGGTTTGTGCCTTTAACATGATGCTGATGTGGTATGAACCCAAGTCACTAACTGGTCATAAGAGGGAGAAACAAAACCTTGTCAAATATTTAGGCATAGGTCTTTAATAAGATTTTCACATTTCTCACAGGTTTTTTAGTAGTACCAATATGCCTTTGCCATTCCTGTGTCCTCCCTGCCAAGGCTTTGTTCCCTGCAGGGAGTTGGACTGCCTCCACTGCTCTCTCCTGGTCCTTCTGCCTCAGGCAGCATTTCATCAGGGCCTTGCCCGGCCATAATTTTACGTGCAGACTGAGGCCATTCCTGCCATTCCCCTGCCCAGCAGAGCATGAAGGCTGCGCAGCATAGCAGGTGCAGGGTGGGAGGTACTGCACAAGCTGCCCACCAGTATCCACCCAGGGATGGGGAGCCCAGAGCAAGTGCCATGGCAGGTCTGGCAGGGATGAGGAAGTTTTCATCACTTTCATTACTTTCCAATTAAAAGTCCTGCTGAAAACTGGCTCAGCAAGCTCCACACCCTCCCTCGCCTTGCGTCAGTGCTGGGAGAGGCTGTGGATCAGCTGCACTGCAGCACAGCATGAGCTGCAGAGCTTGTATCTGACAAAATTAAGCACATGGCAGTTTCAGAGAGGTAGAGGGGGAGAGTCCACAGTCTCTGCACCTGAGAAGGGGTGGAGGCATCACCCAAGCATGAGACAAGCAGAGAGGAAACAGGCACCGCGAGTGTCTCTGCCCCAGCCACGAGTTGCCAGGCTTCCCAGGGCAGCAGGCACCTCCACCCTGGAGTAAGAGGTTTGGGGTCAGTTGCAGCCACAGCCACTGGCCAAAATTGATGAAATAGTAATGAAGGGGACTGAGGTTATGCCACAACATCATCTCAACAATATTTCCTGAGGCAGGATCTGTTTTGAAATTTCTTCTCTGATCTGCCATCCTCTTTACAGACCTAAGAATACCATAAGGGATGGAGAGAACAGACTGTCCCAGAATTTCATGAAATCTGATAATAACGTTAGTCTGCCCAGTCCGCCAAAACCACCAGCACCATTCCTCAAGGATGAATCTGCCTCCATTACTTCAGCAACTTACTTTCACTTTTCTCTTGAGGAAAATATAGTGGATCTTGCTTTTTCCTGAAGAACTGAAACTGTATCTTGATTTAACTCCTCAAGGAAGAATTGTTCTCGTATCCTGATAAGATAATCCTAATAAGAGTGTAAAATAGGTCACTGTCTACTGCAAGTATATTGCCTCCCATTGATAAAAAAGTATGTGCTTTATGGGTAGGAAGTGTATGCTGCATAAGTAATTACAATCTAAAATGTTAAGATGGGTAGTGACTTCTCTCACATTTGTTGTGGTTGCTTCCAAAATCATTTCAAAGATGAAGAATACTGTGGGTTTTCTGGTGCTCAACGCAAGTGTGGACCTGACACTCCTCTGGCATATGTCCTGTGAAGCTGGGCATTTGGAAATGCCTGCTGGGACCTCCATATGCCATGGTTGGACTGTCTCTTCTGAAAATCAGATAAGATTATTCCTAACCCTGCAAGACTTTTTGCTATGTTGGAGGGACTCTAAGCGCTATAATAAATCTTGGGCTAGGGAAGAGGAGAGAAACTGCTTTTTGCCTTGTGTCTGTAGCAATAGTGATGAAAGTCTGCTTTTGCTGGAATTTTTTCCCTAGATATCTTAAGCTTCAGTCACCTCATTCCCCTCCAGCCACAGCAAGCCTCAGTCTTTGGGGCAGAGGCATCTCCTGATCCCTTGAATCAGTGAATGGATCTGGGGCAATAACGATGACTTTGGAGAGGTTGCATCACTCCAGCTGCCATCAGGGGCATGAGAGCTACTCTGCAACGAACACTGTGAATAAATTCCACTCTGCTCCAATTATTGCTTTTTCATAAAGCATCTCAGTGAGCTTCATGAGCCATGAAATGCCTTTCAGCACTGTAACTGTTAGGGGATAAAAATTGACATTGGAAAGAAAAAAAAAAGGTTAATTATTCAGTATATTTTACCTCAGGAGTTATCGATTAGTTTTAAAGACAGCCTGTCACTCCAGCAAAGGCAGGAGTAACACTGTCACACTGCAATGGCCACAGTGGCAAACAGTGGCACTGAGCAATCCGTGAGCAACCTCTAGACTGAATTTCCTCAGTGTTGCTGTCTGCCACAAATGCTCAGGGACAGCAGATGTGCAAGAGAAAGCCATAGCAGCTTACCACTAATTCACAGCCTGAATGGTCAGGCTATTGGGGTCCCTTGATGGACCTGCCATTGATCACTTAGCCAGCAGAGCAATCGCCAGAACCAGAACGGAAAAGCTATTTATTAAGTAGAAAGAAATGGGGTTTGAAATCACAGTACCTGGTGATGACTGGCAACAGGTAAAGATGTTTTGCTGCCACAGGAGGGGGCAGGAAAGTGGGAGATGCTCAGTAACCTCAGAGTTGTGGCAAGGGGAATGGGACTGGCAAAAGAAGTGAAGGACCTGAACCAAAGCACAAATGAGCACAGTTCTATGTGGTGGCTGGAGCATGGGGAAGATTTTATGCTGGTTTGTGATAAGGAAATAAAGTTTAGTTTAGACACAGTGGAGAATCACCTGGAAAAAATAAGAGGAACCACCCGGGGTTGCTGGGTGCAGAGGACAGGGAGTACTTGGCCATGAATCCTTGATTGCCATGCTTTGAAGGCTCCCTCAACAAGCAGGATAGGACCAGAGCCAACATGAAGCATTAGGTAAGCTCTACAAAGAGAAATGAAAATTAGAAATTGCAAGAACATAGCCTGCTTCATCCCTTTTTGAATACCAGCATTATTCCTGAATAGCCAAGAGTTTACTAGGGCACTTTAAAGTCATGTAAGTAGGTCAGCTTGTCACCAGAATCTGCTTATCCCCAAAACACATGAAATTATTTCCTGACAGACAGCAGATGAGAAGCAGGCAGCAGCAAGACATGTCAGCTGCAGCCCAAGGGCGTATCAAGGCAGAAGATTGCAGACAGAACATTTTGCATTTGCAAGTGCATTTTGCTGCACGATGATGAGGTCTCAGCAGTGCCAAAGAAGCTGCTCCTTGTGATAGCAATAGTGCTGTATGGCCCAAGGCTCCCCCAAACAGTGGGCTGGCTGCCTTTGGGCTTATTCCCAGCCCTCCCTCTGGGAAGCACAGAGCAAATTCTGGAAAAAAATTCCACTTAGCCAACACTTTGCTTCGGGGTGAGTCAGTGATACGCCCACCCCTAGTCTGGGTGATGCAGACATTGTCTGCTTCTCTGTGGCAGCAGAAAGATGAATTTCCCTCCAATGCCATCAGCTTTCAGAGAGTTCCCAGCCCAGGGAAAAACCATCCTGTGAGGCCTGGGGTTCGACCACTGCGCATCAAAGGAATGATGGTGCTTGAGTGGTGAGACACTCATTATTGCAAAAGGAGTTTTGCAGCTGTAAACCACTACAGAGGGATTTGAAATGTGTGTTAATGGTAAAAAAAGTCTCATTAGTAGAGTTAATTAGAGTTAGTGTTTATTACAGAGAGAAGCTATTTTTTTTTCACTTTTAATTAAAGATGAGTTAGAACCGTTAAATATTTAAAATGCTACTTTTGCTCAAACTAGCACTTACATTGCTAAAAGCAATATTGTTTTCTTTAATGATAAAATAAAATATTGGCCAAACACCTGAGAGAAGCTTTCTTGACAACCAGCTGGGAGGTATTATGAAACCAGAAACAAATATTTCCACAGTTTTTGACCTTTTTCTCTCCTGGAATACTCTGAAAAGATTTTCATCTCATGATGAAAATTTTCATTTTCATTTTCATCTCACCCATTTGCCTCTGGTGAGCAGATGTAATGGCTGTGCTCGCTGCTGTCAGCGGCTCCGGGGCAGCACAGCATCAGCAGCACAGCACAGCACAGCATCCCTTCTGCAGCACAGCCTCTCTCCTGAGCCCCTGAAGGTGCTGGCCGTGGCTGCGGGAGGAGGGAGGTGAGCTGCCTCCTGGGTCCTTTGCTAGAAAATCAAAACCAGTGGCATCCCACCATACAAAAATCATCATTCCCCTCCTTTTTGTCCTGTCCCAGCCACAAGCCCCTGGCAACCCCCCCCTACCCCCTCAGCACCCTCCGCCATGCCCAACCTGACACCAGCCTTCAGTAAAAAAGTCAACAAAAAAATGTAAGAGCCATTTCACACATGTGACAGAAGGTAACGGTGCGAGGATCTGGTGCTTCCCACCACGCTTCCCTCCCGCCCGTGACCGCCTGCCTCAGCTCTCCATTTTCCTGTCGTTTCCGTGCAGCCAGCCGCAGCGGCAGCGTCGGGAGGCCCGTGGCGAGGTGCACAAGCATGGCAGGTAGGCAAAACCCTCCGGCGGCTGCTGCTGGCCTAATCCCTGTGGCTGGGCTGCAGCTGTGGCAGGGGAAGGGGACACCACTCGAGCATGCCAGTCATATTTAGGTAGGAGTCATGCCATTAGCAGGATCCCACATTACCTGGCACCCTCCTAGAGGTGAGGTGTAATGCCATGGCCATTTGCCACAGTCCCTTGGGTTTCGCATTGTGCTGCTGCAGAGTTTGTGTTGCCCTTGCTATGTGAGTAGACATCTTCCCTCTGAGCATCCCTTCTGCAGAGCTGATCTGCCCTCCATGAGCTCTCCATCACACCACTCGTCCTTTCCTCTGCCACTGCCAGGGAGAAAGCATCTTTCCGAGCACAGTCAAGCCTGCTCATAAATGTTGAAGGTTTTGCCAGTGACCTGTCTCAGATGGGTATAAACCTTCCCCAATGCACACTCACAATACAACAGGTCTTTCAGAAACTGAATTAAATCTAAAGCAGATGCAGGAGCCACCTTTTAAAATGTCTAGGGATAATTCTAGAGGGAAGAATTCACTGATGGAGGTAGACAACTTGCCACTCCTAGAGATTATTAAATGGAGACTGGGCATCTTCCTAAAATACTCTGTAGTCCAGATAAAGCTCTGGGTTTGAGAGAAGAGTTGCTGAAAACACCACTGGTCTCTTTTAGGAGATTGTTGTATTGGCTTCTTGTGGTACAATTGCCCATTAGTCTGTGAGAAGTAGAGCATGGCTAAGCAGTTTAGAAGGAGCTTTATCTCAGGAACAAGTTTCTTTGTTGTCCTGTACTCCTTTAATCTATTTTTGACTTGTCTTGTGTGTATTCAGACAAGTGCCTCTCTGAGCATGCCATCTTTTCTCAAATGGGGAACCAGCAAAATCTTTCCTCCCGCTTTTGAGCCCTCCTTCCACCTGAGCAGCTGGCAAGCAGCTGGTTCTGAGGGAAGCAAGGCTTCACCCACACGAAGCAACTGAGGAGCTGCTGCCACCACCATCCCAGCCAAAGCACTGGGGCGCCGCTGAACAGCATTTTGCACCTTGGATGTGGAGCAGGAGCAGAGCATCCTTTGCTCAGCATTTGGTGCAACTCCAACAGCTTCTGGAATGACCCTCCCAGGCTCCTTAATGCTCAGAGACCTCCCAGGTCTTTAATACTCCTTTTTATCTTTGTTAGAAAACTAGGGCAGGAGCTAATCATTTTATCCCAAGTTAGGGGATAGCCTGACTCCTGGCCTGGTTCCCAGCCTGTCTCCATTTTGTTCCTGGGCAACAGCCAGTAGCTTATTTCATATATTGTTTCCCTAATTCCTGGCCTCATGCCCCACTTATCCACACACACTATTCCTCCAGACCACACTTTTGAATTATTGTCTCCAAACTGTGCTATAAGCAGAAATAATTTTACAGAGACAAAAAGTCACCGAACAAATGTTTCCTTAGCGCTAGAAAGCTAGGTGCCTAAGCTGTATGCTTAGTGCAGGAATCATTTTTTAATGACACGCTGCCAACCACTGCAAGAAATCTCATGGTTATGGTCTAAGGGGTAAATGGTCTAAAGGGTAACGGAGCGAAACGGGCGCGTACTTCTCACAGGCACTGCTCAGGGCTCATAGCTGTGCTTCTCTCTTCCTTGTAGCCCTATCCTAAAACGAAGCCCTGACATCACCAAAGCTCCCCTGATGAAGTCGGAGCAGCTGCTGCGAATAGATGACCATGACTTCAGCATGAGACCAGGTTTTGGAGGTATGAAACATTCACATTTGTCACTGTTCTTGTTTTACACTGTCAGTTCTTTATACTGCAACACATACTCAGGTGAACAAGTAGATTGACAAGCAGAGCCTTTTCTGTCTCTAATTTTTGTTATTTGTGTTCTGACTTCATGACATAAGTGAGGGGGATAGGTGTGCACTGAAATAACCTTCTTCCTTGTATGAACAAATAGGGTAGTCAAAGGCATGGAAATGTGATTACCAGCAGTATAATATTCCTGGCATTCAGTGACACTTTCTTCTGATAAAAATCTGCAAATACACCTTCTGTTTATTCCCAGATGATGGGGAAATTCTAAGACTTCATCTTACCATGGTGGTGTGTGTACATAATCAGATCCTGTACCATGCTTACTGACCTGGCCATTTCATTTGTAACCCAAAGGAAAATATTTTGACTGCCATGTGTTAATGCTTGCTCACAGTTTTGTGGCTGTGTGCTAAAGCAACCTAAGCTTTCAGGGAAATAGATGAAGGGGAACACATTTTCTTTCAGCCCACTGGATTAGAGAATGTTGTAATTTATCTACCCTTTCTGGCTGACAGATGGTCATTCAAATCCAGGATACCATTATATACTCTGATGGAAGAAGATTTTATTGCTAAGTGCTCAATATACCAAATACCAGCATGTTCAATTAATTTAAAAAGGTTTCACTTTCGTATCAGTCCGCTAATGTGAGCATTATTTGTCTTGTCAGATCTCCTGTACTGTAATTGCCAGAGGTATATGAGGGGCTAGTCAAAACGTGGGGGAGAGAAAGATCAAACCCCCTATTATGTGGGGTTGCAGTTGGAACCTTCCACTTGGGAGCCCCAGGCTGAGTGGCACATGCCTGTGTCCTGCAACACATCCCCTCCCATCACCCTGTCTTCTCCACAGCTGTGCATTGAGTGATGTGAAAGCCAAATACACAGAGTAGTTCTCAGGGATGTTATTAGCCTGTGAGTGGAGCAGAAGTGAGGGAAAAATTTAGAGTAATTCTCCCACATTGCCCTAGCTGTGCCTCCACTGCTCTCCACGTGAATGGATGCTCTGCCAGGCATCCATTTTGCAAGCCCTGGATCCGAGCACTAGAGATATAATAAATAAAATTGCTTTGATTTTGAAGGTACTTGTGTAGGATGACACAATAAAAAGAGAAAGTCAGTAATAGGTCAATATTATTGCTGATTTTGATTGTTGTTAGGAGGTTTTTGTTATGAATTCCAGTCGCTTCTTCTTTAAACTGGTTTACTGTTCTTTCTATTTCAGACTGAGCATCTATTTTTATCTCTAAGATACAAAAGCCAGATGAGTACTTCATACTTCTAATTCTTTTCCCCCAGGCCCTGCAATTCCTGTTGGGGTGGATGTCCAAGTTGAAAGTCTGGACAGCATTTCTGAGGTGGACATGGTAAGAGTTGTAGGACTAAGGTCAGATGGGACCTCAGGACACCATCTAGCCCAAACCCTGCTAACAGCAGGGCCAGCTGGAACAGGCCGCTTGGGTTTGTGTCTGTGGGGTTTGAATATCTCCAAGGATGGACACTCCACAGCCTGCAGGAGGCAGTTTCAGGTTTGATCTGAATCTGACGACAATTACTCCTATTGACCTCATGCTACCATTTCCTCTCCTTTGAAGCAGAGGGGAGAAATCTGACATTTACTTTTCTCTAGGACAAAATGATACAACACTGCCAAGATTGTCCCAAAGGGTTTGGGTTTTTACATTTTCTGAAGAAGTGATAACACGGTTAGAAGCTCTGAGGAAGACCAATTAATGTTTTAGTTTTAAGACACTTTGATGTACTGCAGACACAGTCTCACTTTGGCCATGTTCTGCCAGCTAGCTCCCAACCAGAATGTAGCCATCCTGGGAACAACACTGGTTCAGACTGGTAAGACCTGCTCTCGACAGGGCAGCCAGTTCAGAGGGGAGATGTTTCTCAGAACTTGCCTTCGGTGCATTAGCAGTGGTATCGTCACGCCTCCTGTTTGCTGGGGACCAGCATAAGGCTTTGTTGGTTCTTCCTGTATCTTCACACTGATGCTGAAGTAGGAATTCAGGGGCACACAGGACTAATGCTGGTGCTCTGCACAGGCTAAATTCCTTACTGACTCTCTGCCCTTCATTTCCTACCATACAATTACAGTAATATGAAAACAGTTTTCAAATGCTCTTGAAGAGTTGCAGATTTTGGTCTTGATGATTTTTTTTCTGGAGGAGGTTTTTTCATCATAAAAAAACTGCTCAAAGTAAGATATTATTTCTGCAGGAGATCTTCCATGGGAAGATTTTACATTCATATATGCCATGTAAACACCAGCCTGTGCAGGAGAGCAGGACAGCAGGGGAATAGGAGATGGCATGTACATCGCAAGATCTACACCAATTTTATCCACCCTTTCAAAACCCAGAGCTTGTCAGACCTACCTTGTTAGACAATCCCCAGAGTCTCTCAGCAACTCAGATTTTGCTTTGAAAGGAAAAAATCATGCCCCAGTACAGAATACTTTTCAAAACATTTTGCTCTGTCAAAAAATGTATGGAACAGCTCTGAAGCTTTCACAAAAGCTCCACCTTCTCTCTGCTCCGAATTAACAGCCACGGGGTTAAAGAGCCTGCACCTGACCTCCTCCCATGACAAAGCCAGGGACATGGCAGTGTGGCAGCACAGCTGGTGTTCAGCAGCCAGAGAGACCCTGAGAAGCCTTGGGGCTTGAAAGCAAAGGGAAGGAACTTAACATAGAGGATTTTAAAGTAAAACAAAACGAAACAACAAATCCACTCAGTTTTTAACCAAGAGTTATGATTTTGAACGACTTCCCCTGTTTTTTAAATACTGCCCCTGCTCCTCATGTCACATCATGCTGCAACACCCAGCAACATGGGAAAAGCACTGTAGAGCCTTGGGTTAAAAAAAAAATCGGTTCGGGGTCAGTTTTGGCTGTTTGCAGAATAATGATGGAGAAGACTTTATATTGTCAGAATAGATTCTTTTTAACTCATGCAGCTTTATAGAAAAAGGCCATGGTGCTTTTCAGGATCATTGCCTGATTTTTAAATGAAGAGACATCAGTGACAGAGATATTCACGCTGTACTAAATTTAAGCTTGAGGAGTTAGATATGTCATTCTTTCATTTTTTTCTCCTACTTTCTGACTATTTGCAAGAAAATTGTAAAATAATAGAGGACATTATAAAACTTCATTAGGATGTCACAAATCAGATTATTTTTTCCAATTAATTAAAAAATGTATAAATATCTATCATGGGCCAGAGACTCAAATTAACAGAGCTTTTGCAAAATGTGTGGGGCAGCTGTTTTATCTGGAGGAAAGATGGGAAGAAGGAAAAAAACAGATTGTTACCCAGGATTGGAAATTCATTTGCAAACATAATGGGAGAGCTAATAGTGTTTCTGAGAAATGGACCAAAAGAAGAGGGAAATGTTATATAGTTGTTGCTTGGGGGATTTTCAGATGATGCATTGTAAAATATTGTCATTCCCAGTTTAATCGCCTAAAACTAGTATTAATGAATCTTTCCTAATGAAAGCTGACAATACTTGATTTTTCAGCAGCAACCATAAATGTAACTTTATGGGAAAAAGTGAGGCATTGACTTCTCACTGAGGAACAAGTCTGTCTACTATTACTGTTTAAAGGACACATTAACCACAGGAGTCAATGTAAAAGGTTTCCCAGAACTATCTTTAAACTTGAATATAGGGAAAAGATTTTAAAGAATGCTATAGAATGGATCAACTAAAAAAGAAGGAATTCCATGGCCAGTGGCTTTGGGAGCTTCAGTTAGATGCAATATAAAGCATTTCCAAAATTATATTGGCCTCTAGTGTAATAATAGCACAGGCTGCAACTAACAAACCACTTCTAACTGAAAAAAAGACTGCAGAAACCCCCATATTTCAAAATGTTGGAAAACGTTGTGGAAAAAAATTCAAATGTCAAATAATTTCAAAAATCCCCACCCAAAGCCCATCTGGCTTCTTCTACCCCAGACACCAGGGCAGACTGGCCAGCCTTAGACACTTCCCTCAGTTTATGGGCAATATATTATGCTACACTCAAAGATACTTACAAATGCATGTGAGCTGTCTTCAGATATGTGAAGGCTTCCTTTGAAATATAGAAAAAGGCAAACCCAAGTTTATGTGCCTCTGGGGCCTGACTCCAAATACAACAGAGCTCAAAGAGAAAAAGCATGCCTCAGATCTAAGAGTACAATATGTGGGGAGAAAGAGCAAAAGAAAGCCATTTTGGTCAAATACCAAGTGAAGAAGATTTCAGTGGCTGTGCTGGAAGAAGAGCTCCCACTGCAGAAGGCTCTTCCAGCAGCCTGGGGAAGGCAGTTGCCAGAGCAGTGTGAAGGGCAGCACAGGCAGCAAATGCTTCTTCACTGTTGGCTCCAGGTAGGCTGCATCATCTGGTTGGGGGATTAAATGGTTGGCAGCACTCTCTGCCTACTGCTGCCTCAACATGTCTGCCTTTTGGTCCCTGGAGTGGTTCGAAGACACTAAAATGCATCATTTGCATTTCAGAGGTGGATTTGCTGCCTGGATGGCCTCCAATTTCTGAACCCAGTAAGTCAGTCTTGACCTATGGAATAAACAAGCTGCAGTTAGCCATGTCCCCTGCAGTTCAGGGAGTGGAAGTACCTTCAGGGATGGTGCTTTACAGATCGTGGTTTGTCCCAGAGAGGAGAAATCACTGCTATTCCAGTAAGGTGTAAATTGTGACACAAACCTGTTTGTTGCAGGACTTCACCATGACGCTTTACCTGAGGCACTACTGGAAAGATGAGAGGCTGTCCTTCCCCAGCACCAACAACCAAAGCATGACCTTTGATGGCAGGCTGGTGAAGAAGATCTGGGTCCCTGACATGTTCTTTGTCCACTCCAAGCGTTCCTTCATCCATGACACCACCACAGACAACGTCATGCTGCGGGTCCAGCCAGATGGGAAGGTACTTTATAGCCTCAGGTAAAGCTGCATTCGGTCAATGTGAGCTATTAGGGGAGTGAGAGAGAAAGTGGTTTAATTGATTCCTGTACTGTGTTTTCACATGACTTCATACTAAAAAAAAAAACCCAACCCAAAAAAGAATGAATGTGCTAACTATCCACCAAGGTCTGAGTCCCTGTGCAAGTGCAGTGCCTGCTGCAGGAAGCTAATTTCTATGCCAGTGTTGCTGGTTCCACCAGTGTCCTTTCGCCTTGTGTGTGTGGTGAGCCCCTGCTCCTGCTGTCGGGAAGCTGTGGCCAGACGCAGACGTCGCTCAGGCAGCTCACAGGGAACCAGTGAGCTGCAGTCCCCATGGGGCACTGCCGAAGAGCCAAGGCACAATCTGAGGAAGAGAGAAATGCCTGGTAATAAACAGAAGTCCTGAACAGCTCTAGTTACCCACTTCACTACACAACAAAGTCTCTGGGCCTAGCAAAATGTGCAATTTCTATTCTTATAGGTAATTTCGAAGAAGTATAAATTATATTGCACACAACTTTAGCTTTATAAGTAACAAAACAGATGGAACATCCGTCAGCACGTGAAGTGACAAGCTTCAGAGCAAGGGTATATAGATCCTGGTGACTCACATGTATGGCTAGAGCAACCCGAACACTTGATGTCGGCTCTTCCTGCTTTTTGCTCACATTTCATGTGAAATGCATGAAATGCTCCTCGGAGAGGACATTTTGGGTAAACTTTGTTTTGTCCTCTGGTTTGAGGGGTGATCCCAACCTTGCCTTTCGCCCTTATTTTCCAACTGGTCAATCAGCTTTGAGAGGAACATTGCTGACCTAAGTCTGAACATCATTAAACGAGGATTTTTTTCTTTCTAATAAGTAACACTTTCATAGTTGGAGATGCTAAATGAGGAGCATCTGTCAATCTCCAGAAGAAACTAAATTTGGTGCTTCTGTTTTTCTTGGCTTCATTTCCATCCAATTAGAAAAGACGTATTGCCAAACGATCCATAAAAACCTATGAGAGAGGAAATTTTTGTACAATATTCTAATGCAAGAATGTCAACATCACCTCCAGAGCACTGAAATAACAAAATACATGATAAATTAAAAAAGCATCAGGTGATGTAATGTATTCTGAAGGACATAAAAGAAGGAAAATCTGAATTATAGGAAGTCAGTATCAGCAAGACGCATAGATAACTAATGATAAGGTTGCAGAACACATTTCTTAGGAATTCTGTGGAGGTCTTTAAGGACACGTTAGACAGAGACCTTAGGAGTGGCAGAGGTGTTGCTGAGCCTGACATGAGATGGGGAGATCAACTTCTTAGCCTGCCGAGGTGTTTTATGATTTTATGAAAGGAAGGCAAGCAAAGAAATTCTTGATTGCCTATGGGATATCAGTTTGACAAGAATTTTCTTGTTCTCAGTTATTTTTGTCTTACTGTTCATTGGAATTCACAGCCTGAACAGTATCTACCTTCCCATTATTAGAGCTTTTTCTTCACTCAGCGTATTAGACAAGGTTCAGGTGTTCTTTGGACCTTTGCAAAATTTGCACAGGTCCTTAGTACAATAAAAAAAGGACAATAGAATGACATAATAGTCAGCTATAGCATGCATGCCTATATACTCTTTCATTTAGTTGCATAGTCCCAATCATCTGCATTGCAAGCATTTATGGTTATCTAAAGCAGATGGGAACAGAAGAATATCAAACTACTCAGATCCTACCACACAGCCTCGTGCTTAAGCAATTGTCCTGTACAAAATGGTGTTGAATGTCTTGAATAGCAAATTGGCAGAGTTTCATTATTTTATTCAGTGGCAACAGCAGGTTAGAGTGCTTTATGAACACAGGGAAAGTATGAATGCTGGTCTCCCCTTAAAAGCAAACAGGTCATTACTGCCTGCCTGCCTTTGCTGAATGCCTTTGCCTGTAGATTATTTTTTTTTTATTGGTGTCTGTCTTTTTAAGGTTTTTTGCCAGACCTTGACTTCCACTGTAGACCTCACTGGCACCTAAACAAAAAATCTGAGCCAAGAACTTTCACTCAAAGACTCAAAATCCAGAGAGGAAAGCAATATCAGTAGGAACCTACATATGCAGGACTACTAACATAAGGGATTGCACTGTAGTTTTATCATTATGTGATTAATTCTTTCTCCATTATGATTTATACTTCTGTCTTCATTTACTTCCCTTGAGTTCAAGACAGTTGAGTCAAGATTTATGGATATTTCCAGAGCCAACACAAAATTATGCTATTAAAAATGAGATAATCAGACTAGAGCAAGACCAGAGCTTTTGAGTGATGGGGCAGAGAATTTCAGTGGTCTTTGTTGCATAGCAGCTCCAGCCCTAACTCGAGGCACTGCCTGTGCCCTCTGGTGGCTGATACCCATGTGTGATCACCGGGTTCTCATTGAACAGCTGCAAAGTCACAGTTTGCAGAAAAAAAACCCAACCTGCATCCCCCATTGCACCAGGATGGCTTTCATAAATGTAAATTATTTTATTGTACAAAGCATCCATTGAAAGCACAGATCTCTACAGAGAGATGTTTGCTGATAGTCAAAGAAGAAGAAGGGCCTCTCTGCCCTTTCCCATTTTCTTCTCGCATATTTTTGTCATCTAGTAGCAATTGGTAATGGCCTAACTTTCTAGTCATCTTTTCTAACAGTAGTTTCCTGAGAAGAAGAAATGGCGTTAACTAAATTGGAATGGGGTTAGCTGAATGGAAGGTATTTATTTTCAGTGGACTGTTTCTGGCCAGATAGTTACTTAATAAAGAACCAAACTCACAGCTTTACTATTTTTCAGTCTCATAAGAAGACAAATTTTTAATTGAGTGTTTTTTATTATTCCTAGAGTTACAGTAACAGCAATGTGCAACATGGATTTTAGTCGCTTTCCCCTGGACACACAGACGTGTTCCCTGGAGATTGAAAGCTGTAAGTAAAGCAGAGATGTAGGGGAACCAAGGGCTGCATCCTGTGGGCACCCAAACTGTATTTAATTACATCAATAATTATGCCGATAATTAAACTGCTGCTACATTCATGGGAGCTCTGACCAAAGTCAGCAGACTTCAACACCAAGAAAAACTCCCTGCCTAATATTTTTCACTAGAATTAGATGATGTTTGCAACAATGCAGCGTTTTTAAAAAACAGCTGTGAGCGCTGCCTTGCCAGTGTCCCTGAAAGCCAGCCAGGCTGCCCTGTGGCCACCCCATCCACAGAGGCCCTGGGCCACTTGCCTGCAGGTCAGTGGTCTCCAGCAGCACACGCTTGCCCAGGTGCCCTCAAACACATACATAAATGGCCATATGCCCTTCACGTGCATCATCTGCCCATCCATGGTCTACAAACCATGATGGGGCAGTGACCTTAATCACCTTTTTCTTACGTTTCTTATGCCTATTTGAGATAAACCCAGCTTATACCCATGTGTAGCTCCTTTGTCCCAAGTATGACACACGTACAATGACATACTTCTAGCTTTTTAGGACGTTTTTTTTTTCTTTTCCTTAAGCTTCAATTCTATTTAAATAAATTTATGTGTGATTTTTCTCTTCCTGTATGGGAAGAGATGCTACTAAACCCATCTGAAGGGACTGACATTTCTATGTTTCCACATGTATTAAAAAACCAAGACCTGTAATGTTCATGTGTGCATCACAGGCAGAAATTTTACCCAAAAGTTTCTCCTTCTGCATGCCTCAGACCAGCAATAGATTGTTCATCCCATTACTCCATGTAGGCTCTTTCGTCTAAGTCTCCTTTCCTTTGCTTCTGGTTTTAGGACATTTATAAGGGACAGTTTTTCAAGTTCTAATGCAGTGGGTTACCTGACACACATATGTGTGCACAAAATTACGATTAGAAAAACAGAAGGGCTTACAAAATGCACCAGGCATCAGTCCTGAGAGCTATGATAATGAGCTAGTCCACTCCTTGCCACAAGCATACCCATCATCAGGGCAACTCTCAGCCAGGTGATGGCATTTGGCTTTCTCAGTTGGGACCTCACAGGTAGCCTGGAAGGTGTGTGGGCACACCCTGGGCTGTGGGTGTGATAGCTGGCTTAGTGCACTGCACTGAGAGTTGCTCTGCTCCTCTAGATGCCTACACTGAAGATGACCTCATGCTGTACTGGAAGAATGGGAACGATTCCCTAAAAACAGATGAGAGGATATCCCTGTCCCAGTTCCTGATCCAGGAATTTCACACCACCACAAAGCTCGCCTTTTACAGCAGTACAGGTGGGTACCAACATGCCTGCCAGAGAGTGGGCTGGGGGAAGAAGGAGTGCAAACCATCCCTCTTGACCTTGGCCATGGAGAATTGTCCACTGTTAGGGCTCCCTATGGCTCTCTTCTATGCCAAGACTGATGTCCCCACCACAGATTTCCATCCTGATGGTTATGTAGTCTGGAAAGACAATCCCTCTTCAAGATCACACCAAGGCTTAACATGAATTAAACTCTCCGAGTGCACAGGTTATATTATTTGCTCTGGAAGATATGATACTGAGAGACACCTTGACTTTGATAGTTGGTTCAGTAAGGAGTCTTTTCTGTAAATTGCAATAATCTGTGGTCATTAGCTGTGTTTTTCTAAAAGCAAAGGAGGTATTCCCCTGATGCAACTACCTTATCTGAAAGTAGTTTGATGTTGATGTGACTTCTCTTTTCCCTTCTGTTATACAGGGTGGTACAATCGCCTCTATATAAACTTCACTTTACGGCGACACATCTTCTTCTTCTTGCTTCAAACCTACTTCCCTGCCACCCTCATGGTCATGTTGTCCTGGGTGTCCTTCTGGATCGATCGCCGAGCAGTTCCCGCTAGAGTCCCATTAGGTAAAAACAATCTTGTAGTCAGCAGACCTGAGAAACAATTGCTGCAACTGCAGCCTTGACCATCAAGATGAAATCCCCTGTGCTGTGCACTGCCCCTGCATTGCCCTGTGGCACAGAAATCAGCTATGCCACATGCGTGTCCCCATGCAGGGGACTGGCCATGGTACAAGCTCTCCATCTGCCCTGCGGTGCCAAGCAAATGCCTTCCCTGCTTGCACAAGGACTAGCTGCATGCAGTGCAAACCGGAGAGCAAACATCCCCCTCTGCTTTTATTGCTGTTAACAGAGACAGGGCACATGTAGAGCCAAAGTGTCAGTATCCTTCAGACACTTCAGTGAACAAGAAGGTGAAAATCAGGATTAGCAGCCCTGACAAAATTTCAGTTTATTGAGTTTTGCTGGAGGAGGGAGGATGGAGGTAACAGTCAGCTGAGCTGCACTGTTCAACTTGTTAAAAACTTCCAGTGCAATGTGAGGGATTCAGCTTCCTCTTTTGCAGCATCTTTCAGACAGATGAAGCCATATATCAGAGGAGTCATCAGGGGGGGAAAACAATCATATGGTCATAAATCTTCTTCTAAAGCGGATGTTTTGCCCTTAGCAAAGTGTTGTTTGTGTTTCTACAGATTTTGAGCCCAAGCTTGCTTCCACTTATTCCAGGCAACGCAACTTAGGATTTTATTTATTATTAAAATCATATTCCTCAGTGGAGAGGATATATAGAGGCTTAACAGAGATGGCAATGGGGCAGTTATCCATGTCTCTGTTTAGAAACAGCTTCCACTGCCTTGAGACATCAGTAAAAGGAGCATAAGGATTTGGGCCATGGCTTTTTGGAAGATGTAGGCACTGCCTTTAGCAGCACTTTTTAGCATCTAGATACTCCTGTGATTTCAATCCTTTGTGCTTATATACATAATTTCAACTTTCAAAAGGATCATAAAGGTGACATAGTTAGCCCCTGAAATGAGAGGGCCACAGAGAGCATCCCTTAGAGCCAGGATAACACCGGACTGCAGGGGCTCCTGCTGATGTGTTCATTGTGCTCGCCCATGGTGTAATGTGGGGCAGCATTGCCCTGGGGAGCTCCATTAGTCTCTGCTCTTGCTCTGAGGAAGGCACAGACCAGGCTTGAGAGCCAGCTGGTGACTTCTGTAACTTCCCATGAAGCAGGACTTCTCAGGAGCAGATGGAAAACACAGGCCTGGAGAAACTGGTGTAAGCACCAACAGCAACAGAGACTTCGCTGGTGCTCATGCTGCAGAGGGGTTGAACTAGAAGCTGAAATACTCAGAATCATAGAGTCATAAAATATCTTGAGTTGGAAGGAACCCAAAACGATCGCTGAGTCCAACTCAATGTCCTTGTACCCCTCCAGGGACTGTCTTGAGCCTGGAGATGAGGTGCAGCCAGCACAGGGTCAAAGTGCTACTGCCTGGCAATGGGGTGGGAGGCTGGTGGTGTGGTGTGGCAAGGACTAGCAACACCCTGAGACTAGAACTAGAGCTGTTTTCCCAAAAAAGACAAGATAACCCCAGTTAGAAATTAGGGCTGCCTGGACACCCCTCAGGCAGTGAAAGCCATTGCCCAAATGTGAAAAATAATACTGCAAGGTAAATTTAATGTCAGGAAATGGTAACGACAGCTGTATTTGTGATGAAGACTCTGGTTTGAAAATGTCTTATGGTTTCTCTGCTGGTGTATTCCCAGGGATAACCACTGTGCTGACCATGTCCACGATCATCACTGGGGTGAACGCCTCCATGCCTCGTGTTTCCTACATCAAAGCAGTGGACATTTACTTGTGGGTCAGTTTTGTGTTTGTCTTCCTCTCAGTGCTGGAATACGCAGCAGTGAATTACCTGACTACGGTGCAAGAGAGGAAGGAGAGGAAACTGCGGGACAAGGTGAGGTTTTCTATCTCCAATGCAGCTTTATGCCCCTGGGAAAAGGTATGGCAAATGTCTAGAAATGTTCAAAAGACTGCAACTACAGTGTGCTGCTCTCATCTGCCTGGGGAGAATGCAGAGCGTGTAAAAAGACACCAGTAGTGAAGCATTTTGTGTTATAAAGATTTGCTACGAACAACCCACACACAAGATCAATGCTCTTTCTTCAGAGTTAGAGGATGCTAACCCCCTCTACATATAGTCCTTCACTGCCTGTATAAATGGGACGTTTTAGGATTTTACCTTTAAATATTCTTTTATACTGAAGGTCCAAACCTGTGAACAGAACCAGATGAATACTGCATTTTGGGTTTCAAATAACATGGCAGGTATCCTCTACCTTTCTCCAGGCACAGTCTAAATTTATACAACAGTCCAAACTTCCCCCTCCTGCCTTCATTACATTAAATTAGAACCACCCAAAATTTCAGCCTAAACTCTTCTCTTCAAATGGGGCAAGACTTATACATTCCTCATTGTGGTTTCCCTCTGCTCTTTTTGATTTTCTCAACTTCAAGGTACAGGTCCAACCTTTATTTACACCCTGAAAACTGTGCTTAAGCCAAATGAGCTTTTCTACAGACAGCCCCCTCTCTCCCTGACTGCAGACATGAAAAAGGAGAAGGAAAAAGCTGCTGCCCAGCTCCATCCCCGCGTTCTCCCTTTCGCGTTCCAGCAGCCTGAATTCCCCAGGCTTGTCCCCTCCTCTGCTTTTGTAAGGAGAAAAGGGATGTCTTTGTATATCTGGACACAGCTCAAAACCATCCTGCACTTGTGTTCACAGCTTCCCTGTGCATGCAGCCTACCTCAGCCTCGGCCCATGATGATGGATGGCAGCTACAACGACGGGGATGTGAACGAACTGGGGCACTACGTGTCTGAGAATGGAGATAAACAAGACCGAATGATGGTGCAGCTGGCGCTGGGGTCTGACAGGGGCTCGGGCAGGAGGAAAAACCAGAGATATGTCAGCATGAGGATTGACACTCATGCCATCGACAAGTATTCCAGGATAATATTCCCTGGTGCATACATTCTGTTTAATTTGATATACTGGTCCATCTTTTCATAAATATACGTAACTTCCACAGAGCATTATGACATTAAGTGAAAGTAGGGTCTCATAGGCTAACAGAAAGAAAATGGAGAATTGTTTTATTGGGAAGGAAGATTGATTTTTTTTTTCCAGAATTTTTTAATTAGATGCAACTCATCTGTGGCATAAATAATTGTGCAAGTTTCACATTTCAGCAAAATATAGGATATACAATCTAAAATTTTATACTTAAAGATGTGCTATGTTCCTTCTTGTGCCTCACAGGCCACTGTAAACTATTTTAACAAATTACTCTAGCTGACAGTTGCTTATATATGGTGCATCCTCCATTTTGTGCCCCTGAAATACCAATTTTCCAAGTACCTGAGTGCACGCATATGTCTCTCAACTCACCAGACTTAATCACATTCAATACCAATAAATACAAGAATATGCAGATACTTGCACGTTTGCAGGATGAGGTCAGAAACGGTCAGTACAAACACAAAATATTCAGTACCAGGAAACACTTTGGCAAGGTTATTGATGGCTACAGCTTGCTTTCACATGCTGCCCCAGCAGTACTGCAGTTACAGGTGCACACTTTCAGACTTGTGCTTTGTCATATTTAAAACAAAGAAATCTTTCCAAACAGATTTGGCTATCTTTTAAAATACGACTTGCAATGCACATTTACTAAGGAATGAACAAAAGCCTGGCTTCCTGCAATGCTAAACTAAATCCCCTGGGGAAAAAAGGGAGCTCTCCTTGAACCTCCTTATCGGGGTCAGTGGCAGTGTTGCTCTTGAGTTTCCTGGGAAAGGAAACAGGTTTCTCTACAAAATGAACCAGTGAAGACAACTGGGTGTCTACAAAAAGAACAAAACTGCTCCTTTTCTCTGAGATAGCCTGGCTATTCCTGGTCTGAATAGCCTGAGAACCTGTTGCAGCCTGTAAAGCCACCAGTAATCGTACTCACTTTCAGTAAAAGCCTAGTTCATCTGGTTTTAGTAAAAGCGTAATAGGTGCTCAACAGTTGACAGAGCAGTAGTATAAACTTTTTATCTGGGTTACTAAAGATACCATGGCAAAAACTTTGGAATGAAGTAAAAAGGAGCTTCTACCATGAGACAGCAGCTCCATTGCAGACCCAGGTACAACTAACAGACTCTGCTCTCATGCTGCATCCATCCTCCCAGCATCCTGCGGCCCACTGTGCCCTTGGAGGAGGCTCAGCACCCTCCAGGGCAGGAGCAAGGAGACACAGCTGGAGCTGGGGGCACTCGGCAGTGACTTAAGTCCCAACCCGCCGTCAGAGTTTCTGCAGAGCAGCCAGTCAGAATAAATGGAAAAGGCAAAATCTATAATGCAGAAGTAGTAAAGTATTTCAGGAAAACAATAATTGATTGAATGGCATCCAGGGACCTGTACAGGAACAGTAGCGCCAAAGGTGTCTCAGAAATGTGTTACACACCTACATCCACAAAGCTAACTAAGGGTTTGTGTTAACAGGACTTTAAACACAATGCATGCTTTTGCACACAGTTACAAAATGCATTCTTTCCTGCACAGCAGATGCTGTTTTTTACAGGTGCAGCTGCTCTGAGAATCAGACCAAAGCAGCTGTGTCTCCAAAAAGAAAGTGAAGCTTCTTACACGTAATCTGCCCTGGACTGACTGATCTGCTGTTCTATGCATTAGGCTCACAACACAGACATCGCAGTTGTTTGAATGCTGCTGTTTTTTGCTTTAATTTCCTATGTAAATAAATGTCACGTAAACATACTCCGCATTTCTTACAACTGCTAAAATCATGACCTTGAAAACTACCTATGCCCATCTTGCACTTACAGCCTACACTCCACAGATAAGGCAATGAAATCACAAAAGCTAAAATCATTAAGACACACACCCCTATAAGATGGTTTTACTACTCATTTCTACATAGGGGTTTTTCATATACACATACTATCTTAGCTTCATTTTCTCTAGTTTCCTTCATATCATATTATTCTCCAGTGAGTTTTTATTCAAGAGATTAAAAAAAGGTATCCATTTTCTTAAACCATAAACATTTCAATGAAACAAAGGTAGAAAGGTCATGCTGGCAAAGCAGATGAAAGGATGGCCACCAGATTTGGCCACCCTACCATATTCTTTATTCCCGATGGCACCTTCTCCCACAAATAGCTCCAAGATTTCTTGGGCACTACTTGCACAGGAATGTATTTAGATTCTCATTATTGTTAGAACCCATTTATTTCTGCAATTTAAAACCAGCACAAACAGAAGTGTGAGATTTTATAGTAAGCTTTCCAGCTTCATAAGAAGCTTAATGCTATGTAGTTTGCTGCAGTACTGTACATTCCATTGTAGACTCATTAATCTCATATTACTTACAGTATTCAGCATCTGAACAGTATATTAAGGGAGATTTTGAAAATACAAATGGAACCTGGACTTTCAGATTCCATGGCTTTCAGTGGGAGACCGGTTTCTAATTTCCCATGTGATTTTCAAAGTTTCCCTTCCAGCACATCTCCCTAAACAGATTCCCCGACCTCCATGTTTGGATTTACATTGTTAATTTACTTGTGTTTTATTTGGGAAATTCTAGTGCCTTCGCAGTCTTATATAAATGTGTATATAGATGTATTCTATAAATACAGGATATGTCATATACAGCCAGTGTTTGCTATCAACAACTGTACTCATTAAACACATTTACACACAGTTTTTTGGCTTTTAACCTTTCAGTGTGTGGTTTTTGCATCCAATCATTAACACACTGCTTCTTTCCATTTCCACAATAAATTGATTTATTTCTAGACACTCAACATCACAATAAAACTTCACATTCATACAGCACTGTGTTCTCTACCATCAAAAGAATGATCTCCATGAATTTATATGTGTTTGTAAGATCTTTTTGCAAAGGACCTGATACAGTCAAACACCAACTACCCTTAAATTCTGTGATGCTGATACGGCTGGAGAGTGCTGCTATTTCACAGGCAGGGCAACACTAAACTTTCTACCCCAGGTTGTGTACATTACAGTACTCATTCTTCTGGCCTAGGATGATACTTTGCAATATAATTCAGACCAACTTCTTGGAGGTTAAGCCAAAGCCCAGTCTGGGATGATGCTGGTTTTAAAAGTTGAACTGCATTAGCAGGTCTGTGTGGATTAAGGATAGACACAAGTTCTGCCTGTGAGCATGTACAGAATTCAGAGCTTTGGAGACTGAAGTCTTTAAGGAGGCTGATAATTACTGGCAGAGTGAAGCAGCAAGGAGGCAAACTTCAGTCAGCAAGAGATAGATAGTAAGAAGGCATGAAGGAAGATAGATAATCTCTTTTCCTCCCCATGAGGATATTCTCATAATAATCAAATTATTATATGACCCTCTCTCTACATGCTGCATACCCAAGCAATTCCCTCAGTACAAAACAGATCCAAATTCCCTGCAAGCCCTGATGAGCATGTAGAAATATCCCCCTATCGCCCCCCTCCCCGGACTCCTGCACTTGCTCCTATGACAAGAGGCTACATGATGGAGCACTGAAGCAGCAGAGAAATGAAAAGCCACTGAGACCACATATACTGCATGTTCCACAACACAGGGACACACAAGTAGCTCAGTGGCTGTACAACACACAAGGACTCTTCAGACACTGCAACAGATCTGTGAAAGCCAAAGCATAGGGTATGAGGCACATTCTAATATTCAAGAACAAAAAGTATATATAAACAGGAAAACTAACAAAAATTGGAACTCCTGATGAATTTTAAGTACCTATCAAACAGTTGTTATGAAACAAGCCTCCAGCACTGCAACTGGTGAATATGTACTTCATTTGTACGCTTTTACCCTTCAGTAGGGTCTTGAGAAACTAAGAAGAGATGGGCCATGATTACATTTGCCAGTTTGCTTTGAGACTGAGCAGCTGAAAACACAACTCTATATGTATTCGAGCAATCATAGGTGATAGCACGGCATAAACGGCTGTTAAGACTATCCACAAACACGTGGACTTCATTCTTTCCTATGACTGAGGCATTTCTCACTATTTTTTAGATATGGACATTCAGATGCAGTTGTGGCAGAAAAAAAAAAAAAAAATTCTTGATGAGTTTGTCAGGTACCTTTGGCTTCTATTAGTGCCTAAAGGAAGCCAAAACAGCAGCAATCTCACCCAACTGGCTTAGTAGAGAGTTTGGGTAAAAACTTCCTAGGAGGGATGCACATCTGCTCCCTAATAAAAACAACAAAATGTGGGTGCCAGCAGCAGTCATCCAGACAGGCTGGCAGACAAAGGCTCTGTGGAGTGCTGCTACTTTGAGGACCAAGAAATAGTAAGCCTTAGGGAAAAAACATATTATGTAGATTGACTTTATTTTAAAATTTAATCCTAAACACTTTGCTCTACATAAAAATCTGTTTTAAAGAATGCTGTAATTAGCAAAATATGAGAAGATCACTCAAATACTAGACAAATATTTACTTCAACAGCTGATGTGTTGTGGCTCTTCACAGGAACACAGACTTGCTCCCTAATGCAGTATGATTGGGTACAGAGCACTCAGACAACAGGAATGAAATGATTACAGATATGATTCACAAGAAACTAAAGCTGCTTCCTATTTACTGTTTGAAGAAAGGCTGCTGGACTCTTCCACACCAGCTAGCTTAATTCAGCAGGTTACAAGTGTTCTCCTTCAAATCTTCTCATAAAAAGAAATCCATCACTTTTTTTAAACCAGGCATAGCTTTTACTGAAGTTCTAGGACAGATATTAAATAAGGAAGCACTGTAGCTTGGTAGGCTGGCAGAGGCTTTAAGTTCTTCACAAAGTCTGGATATAATCACCACATAAACAGCTGTCACTTCCCATCAGTTGCTTGGAATAATTTCAGAAATTACAGTTTATTACCTACACATTTTGACTTATTGATAAAACTACTATTCTTGACAAATATTCCAATACTCTTATATTACAAACAGCTTGGGAAAGACTGCAGTTAGGGTAACTTAAAAAACATGCCAAATATTTTCATATACATGTGATTGATAAGCACAAATTACTGAAAATCAAAGTTTTATTCCCAGAGGAAATAAATTTCTCATATAGTATCACTGGGATAGTAAAATCCTAACATTAAATCCCAAGCTGCTTTAGTTCTGGACCTTAAGAATGAATGTTGAGACAAATCAGAATTAACTTGCCTGGGGAAGTTGAAAAGTTTCTATCCTTGGAGGCTTGCAGGATTCAGCAAATGAAGCCAAGCTCACCTAATTTAAGCGCTGGTGATAATCCCACTTCAAACTGGAGGCTGGACCAGGTTTAGCCTAATATAGATCCTCTAGAGAGTCCTCCCAAGTGCCATGCCTATTATTCTATGAAATTTAACAGTTTTTAATAGTTGAAACAGCCCTAAGATTATGAAGACTACCATTAAATACTGTATTTGAAAAACATTAACCTTCACAAAAAAACCTGCTCAATACGTCAGACTGAAATGGAAAGCTTAAAACACCCCATATTTACATAATCATACCAAACTAAGGGAAAAAAATAATCACTGTTCAAATCAAGTCATGCAGCATCCCAATATTAATCAAAGGAGAAGAAAATTCAGACATAATTAAACTGCTTTATTGATACCAATTCATCTTTAATCAGTACTTCAGTTTCATTTTAATTCCAGCAATGATTACAACAAAATTAAGACATGCTTTTAGTACAGAAATGTTTCATTAAAGGATCTTGGACATAATACAGCTAGTCCAGACGAAGAACTAAGGCTGTAATGCACATCAGCTTGTAGGAAGCACAATGCAGCATATACTGCTATCCCTGAAATCTCAACACTCCATCTTAAAAACAGTAAAGCAAAAAGTTAAGCAGTGCAGGAGGAAATAATGAGCCACATATGCTAAGGAAACTCATAAACTAGCTTGTTAACCCTGTAGAACTTAATGACTTTTAACTGAGAACTGGCAAGGTAGGGTTTACATTAAAAGTTAAGGAGAAAGTTCCTTTAACAAAACCTTGGACCAAATTTCAGTTGGATCTAGTATCCAACTTACTACCCTGGACATACCTATAGCTCAGAGTCCAACCCTCATCTGTTTCATGCATTAATTTCTCAAAACTGTCTGCTAACGAAAGCAAGGATACTAGTGCAATGAAGGACCATCCGAAGGACCATCCTTTAACCTGGAATACTTATAGTCATGCTCGACTTCAGGTAACTGGCTTGTAAACAAAACAAACCCCTTTGTGTCTCTGGTTCTTACAGAAACAGATAAACAATTACTTCCTTTTCCAAAGATACTGAACATTCAATATACTAACAGATGGTCTGTGTCCTATTACTACAAGCACAGAGGCTGAAGTATCAGGAAGACTAAAAACTGTCAAATTATGTTGTCTACATGACATACAAACAGAAGCCAGCCTAGTCACACCTTTTTCCTTCTAACAAGGGAGTCAACAGAATTCTTAAATAGTAGCTGGAGGTCTGTGTTAAAGAACACACAGAAAGGCAGAGGGAGTGCACAGTTAAACCAGGGTAAGGAATCTTTTTTCCAGAATTAGGAATTCAATATAGAGGTTAATAAAATAAATTCTGATTAGAATTCTAGAGTTCACCATTTAAAGATTAGTACTACAAACCAGGTTTCTGAAGTTATTTTGGGTATTCTGACTTCCTGGGAATACAGTTTGCCTGACTTCAGAAGTTTACTATAATATCTATGCTTAGGAAAATGTTAACCAGTAAGCTGCTCTTTCACTCTTGTCTGTCCGTTGGCTCAGCAATTTGTATCTGAACAAAAGATTAGTTCCTTCTCTATGTATTCACATGACCCTTTAACAAGCAAATTAAAAGAATTCCTAACATGTTTGGACGCACAGAATACCACCTAGATAAAATCTGCAACATAACAAGGCTTTAACAGACTTAACTACAGAACACATAGAAAGGACAACTGGCCAGGCTTAACAGATCTGCTGCTTAGGATAGGGGGAACAAACAGGTTTAAGCAGCCAGTTACTGCACATGCAAGATTCTCAGGGCTTACTACAGGGGTTTGCACACAACCAGTTTTATGTTTCCACCTTCATTTACTGCTTCATGGTATCACACTTGCATCTTTGTGAAAAATTTTCATTGGTTTAGTTAAATTTATACACATCCTTTCAATCAATTAAGTTAGTACAACACTTTGTGTTGACACCCGTATTGCTTTAGAGTAGAACTGAAAAGGTGCACATGAGTTTTCTGGCAGCAGTTTAAACGTGTTTATTTAAGCATATAACCATTTAGTTGCTTTTAGATTTTTTTGATCAATGACTTCTCCAAAACATCTCCAAAATTTATTAGGAGGATCAATGCATTTCAGGACAATCAACCTTTACAAGTTGCATTTCCATACAGTTCTCTTCCACTGTTGGAAGACATTACTGCCAAAACCAGGCATGCTTCCATACACCCTTCTGTCCAGTGAAACCAGCTCAGGTTCTTGTCCCAAGAAAAAGCAACTGGGCAGAGAGAAATGCTTCACAGGTCAGATTTGAGCTATGATCACCAAGTGAACAGTGCTTATTTTAGAACAAAAATTTCCATGTAAATGCCATATTTCCTCTGTAAGGAATATTACTTTAACAATACACAGAAAATCACTGACAAGGGATCTAAACACTACCATTTATTCAACAGTGCAACTTAAAGACGCTATTTGCGATCTCTCTGAAATTCATCACCATATTGAATACAGCAAACATTACAGCTAGATGAAATTGCACATTTTTGAAAGCAATGATACTATTTGTTTCTAAAGTCAAAAAAAAAAAAAAAATCGATATTTTTAGCTATGTGTTTATCCAGTCCCTTCTGGGATTTAAATACAGCATCTCCATTAAGTCAAGCCTACTGAGATAGCTTTAATGGAAGTTTAGTGTGATGCACATGCTCCTGTGCCAACACCAGATTCTTTGTTAAGTTCTACTGGATTTATTTGCCCCTCTTCTTTTAGCTTCACCTGTCTAAAGTCTTCCCTGACTATGTCTAGCAGACCTGGCTTGAAAATGACATCCAGTGCTGTCATTGCCAAAGCTTTTGCTGTGCGCAAAGCATAGAACTGAGCATTCTGTGACCCTGCAGAAAAAAAGTAAGAAATTTCAGGTTAGATTACTAATAGTAGCTACAAACCACTAGCTTCCCTCATAAGACATGTTCTATAAGATGATCTTCAAGTTTCAGTTACAAGAACAGTTTCTTAAAAATGTACTTGCATAATACACGTCTATTTTCTGATGCCTCGAACCAAATTTTAACATGCAAGTACATAACTTTCTGCTAATTATGTAAACAACTAAGATTGAAAACAGTAAAATAAGCATTCACATTTTCCTTTTAGAAAATGCCGTTTTATACCATTATTTCTATTACATTTCCAGAGTATTGTGCTTTAGGAGTAAAAGTTACCTTTTATCTTTCAGCTCATGTTAAGAAACTCTTCTGAATGAGCTGCTAGGGATAATCTTTCTGATTTCTTCTGTCTAGACGGTATACTAAAGTCAGGCTTTTAGTATGAGTTGTGGTCATCCTTCCCATATATATTTAACTTTAAAAAGAGTAATAGAAATTCTACATTTTTGCAGCATTTTTCTGAAACTCTACAATTAACTGTTTCAGGGTCTGTATTCAGCTCAGATCCCATCATGCTTGAAGAAAGCAACTACATTTCTGTACAGGTATTCACATACAGCCACTTTCAGATCTAGTACTTGCACTTTGATATATTTACTGCATGATAGCTTTGAACAGCACAGAAGTATGCGAAAACTTTAATCCTCTGTAATTTGACATATTTACAGTTTATATATTTGCTGTAGTGAAGAGTCAGAGACCAGGTCCTACAATGCATAAGGGTTCCAAATATAAACCTCTAACCCTTTCCACTTCCACTCACCTGCAGCTTCTGTGTACTGCTCAGTATGATTCAATGCATCGGAGCCAATATAAAAATAAGGATGAAGCCCAGGGACTACAAATGTAACATTTCCAAAGTCTGTGGAACCTAGAAGCAGCATAGAAATTTTCTTAATGAACAAGAGTTTTGAATACAGTAAGAAAATGTATGATAGATATTATCTCCAGCCTGTATCTAAAACAGAATATCTTCTTCCCCAAATACTAAAAAGCATTTCTAATGAGTCATTAGCCATACAAAAATCTCCCATCACCAAGATGTCCTCCCTAACTAGCCATCTTTAGATACTGCTCTCCAGTGCGCTTCTGATCAATAATCAGTTACTGGACTGCAAGTAAAATGTATCAGCATGTTCCTACTCCATTTACTGTTAATTTTTATCAAGCCATCTCCTGATAGTAAGATGTTAATTCAGAAACAATGAAAGCTGCAAACCTTGGAGTCTTAGGCAGTTCAGCTATTTTCTTGCTACAGCCCTTAAAACCAGGCCCAGCAATTCCCACTTTTCACCAGTATGCAAGTATTCAGCATTAGGCAGGGGACTCTGAAGTAGGAACAATCTATCTTTAAACAAAACCATATTGAGGACAACTATTTTTTCCTGTGCTTTTTTATTATTCTCAGTTACAGAACCCTTAACAGCATAAGCACTTTTGAAATAACAAGATCAGAATTGAACTCCAGGCAAAACACTAGTGCTTTGTAGACATAATGAAGTTATTGATAGCAATGCTGCAAATTTTAATGATTATTCATTCATGCCTGACCAGCACTTCAGTACATTAGCTAGTGATAGTACCTATCTCACAATACTGCTTTATATATTAATGAAGCCATCCAGAACTAGTAGATCCTTCATAGTAAATCATCCAAGAGTCTGCAACTACTTCCCAAGTCCTTTTTTACCCAAACAAGCAATCCACTCAGTATTTGTTAAAATGACATTTAGAAGCTGGAGAAATCAACATACCAGTTATTGTGAAGTTCAGATACCAGAGGAAGCACTGTTTTGTAGCACAGAAAGATAGGGATGACCAACTAAGATCTCAAATAACTTTTTCCAGGCCAGAGCTGCAAGAATTTTCTTCTTTAACAATGCCATATAAAATGACTGTTCCAATGATTTAAAATTATTTGAACACATTAGGTAGCCTCCCTATCATGGTACTTTATGGAGAGAAGATACTGCTAATGCCTTAAGACTTAGAAATGAACTGACTGAAGAACAGAGATTTTACTTGGAAGCATATAGTTACTAGAAGTGAGTCCACAGAGTCTACATAACATGATCAAAGAGGACAAGACTAATTTGGTATTTGCTCTGCCCACAAACAAACAAGGCTTGTCCAAACCCATGACTTTTTCCCATCAATTCAGTATGCATTTGAAGAAAATCCAACTCCTGGCACAACAAGACGTTACCTTAATTTTCAGTAGTTTACACTATGGATCCATTTTCTGGTCATTCTGGAAAGACAAACCAGCAGTCTAGAAGTTCCACCTACTCTCAACTAGACCAAGAGTTCTAGACTAGCCTAAGTCCTAATACAAACTGCTAAAGACTGCGTTGACCTTTTTTCCTGCTCTCAGCAAATGAAGCATTAGAAATTTCAGTGCATCCCAGCTCAGTGTCATGTAATTCCACTTAAATTTATATCCATATCCCATCTGCTACGAGTTTACAAGATATTTTTGCTGAATGTAAGGGATTTAAACTTGGTATTTTTTAGTATGATGAAGAGCTTACCAAGCCAAAATCCAGGCAGCTTTTAACAAAAATGTGACAGTCAAATCTTCCCCTCCATCAGAAAAAATGTCACACCCTTTAGTGGTAATAACCTAGCAGCATGTTTAAAACATCAGGTGTACCAACAGTTTCCATACAAGCATCTGGAATTGTATGCCTGCTAGAGATGTACAGATTGGGATTCCTTCCAGAAGCATAAATAATTGCAGTTGTCAATGCAATATACAGACTTGTGCACTATCTTCAATTAAAAGGTATTGGAAGCTCCAGACTCTCAAAAATATCTGCTGAAGCTGATACTGAAGCCTCTTAAAGTCACTGAACACATAATGGAAGTCAGTATTACCACAAACACGACTGCAAGGTAAGATGCAAAAGATTCCAGGAAGCATTTCTATACAGCCCCAAGCTTCAAAAGTGGTATTTTCAAAACATGCTGGCTCCTTCTTAAGATAGTCTGTATCAGTCTTGTGCCCAGGAAGCCAATGAACCCCATGAATACTAAAAATACCAAAGTTATCACAAGCATGGGTGCCTCAACTAAGGCATGCTAAACTAAGCCATCTGCTTTGGGAGGTTATCAATATCCTGCAGCAGGGCTACCCTACCAACAGAAAGAGAAACAGGTCACAGCACCTGATCAAAGCTAACTCAGATCCACATTATTTCACATCATCCTGGCTATGTGCCAAATGAGTGGAGTGTGCACAAGGCACACAGGGTAGTGTGATTTGATGGACTAAAGGAATTCTTCATACCACTTAGCTGCCTAGAGCGATACCTGTAAGCAGACCGATACTAATACCCATGTAGAGGTGGCAGCGAGTATGCTCATCTGTTAACGACTTTTCTGCTGCACAGACATGGAGAAGCAACTGAGCTATCTTCCTTCCCTTTCAACAGAAGAAACTGATATCCTAAAAGAAAACATTGAAAGCCATATGAAAACTAAACAGAAATAGAGGTCTTGAAAAAGATGAGACAAAACACTCAACCCCCCCAAAAAAAAGGGTAGCATACAAAATTCCACTCCTATGTCTCTGGAGACTGTGCTTTGTTATCACTCCTGAATCACCACTGCAACAATTCAGGAGAAGCTGTGGAAAGAAAATTCAGTAAAGCCTACTGCAGTGAGACAAAAATGCAATTGCTCAAGCACATTTTGACATTTAACAAGCAATTTAAGAACAGAACAGGCATATGGGGAGTTTCAGTTTAAGTTAATGGTTAACACCATATCATGTAACTTACATATGAAAGCACTATTACAATTAGGTGTCTGTACTAAGTTCATTCGATGTCCTCTGAACCAACAAGATCACCAGTATTCATGATCTTCATCCTTAATACAATGGTTTGAAAGAAGCAGCTAGCAGAGCTTCAGAAAGTTTCACTGTAGCAAGCATTCTAAGTAAGGTTCCTCAGCCCCTTTCTTAGGCTAAATGAGCAAAGCAGTAAGTCTTACTTGTACAATACTGAAGACAAAAAGAAATCTGCCTTTAGTTATGATTTGTTTTTTAAACCCAAGACAATAAGCCATTTGAAGAAAATATGCTACTGTTGCCTTAATTTGGAAGAGAAGTAAGAAATAAGAGAAAAACCACCAGAATACCGTTAGATATGCTGTCTCCCCCACCCAAAAAGTGTTGGGAACTCTGTCTCCAAACACCAAGATCTCAACTGTCCAAATATAATCTGCATTTAATGTAGAGAAGATTAGTACCACAAACTAATTAGGATAAGGACTTTTTACTGAGAACAATCTTTTCCTTCTAACCAAAAAACATGTAACATGAGTAAAAACATTTATATATACTGTCATCAGTAGCAAAGGCTATAAAGTATCAGCAGCAGTTAAGAATTTGAAACAGAGTTCCTGTATGAAGATTCTGAAAAAAACCTGTTAAGGGTGATGAGAAGCCCAACTGAGCATTCAAGAATTCACATTGCTATTACTATAGCTCTCAGAGAGCAAGATAGTGAGGAGTTTGAAACTTAGTCAAGACCCAGAAGTGAACACCTACTTGAAGGTCACCCTTTGGAAAATTAATCTGCTGAACTCATGAACCAAAATTAGAAGCACAGAATTACCTGTTAATGGAAAGACCTTTAAATTAGGGTTATGACAATGCTTAAGCTTCCACTTAACCTCTTAAAAAATTCCCTCTAAAATATTAGTTAGTTGCTAGTAAATTTGTTTATATGAAAGCTTGGAAAATATTGTTAAACAAGATTTCTAAAGAACAAAGTCTCATCTCCATTCATAGCAACCCAGGATTCTGCATTTCAAAACAGAATGAGCAGCAACTCATTACACAGCCTCATGTTCTAACCAAGACTGTTCTTAGCTTTTCATCCTTTTATCCCCCAACCAAACTGTTTCTTACTTGAAATATTTTCAGAAATAATATCAGAAAATGATTACCGCTTTTCATACCTGTTGGGAGAATTTCTCAGCTTCTGTAAGAAATACAGAAACACAGGCCAGAGGTATGATCCTTTTACAGAGCTTCAACATTGTAATATGGCTTTTTCTTCTGACCAAACTATGTTTAAACTAGCTCTGTCCCATTATTTTATACACTTAAGAGTTAGTCAACCTAAGCTTAAGTCATAACAAAAAACCCAGATGGAGTTACCTGACAAACCATTCAAGATACAGTCTTCTGATATAAATTCTATTCCAAGCTTCTTTCCATTCTCCTTGTAAACTTTCTGCAGGCTCTTATTTGGAAGCACATTGTAGTAATCATTTTCACCACCTTTTATTTCCACCTAGACAAAAAAACCCCAAATGATTAGAAATTTTTCTTCAACTTCAGCCAATTTAATCTAAACAATTTGAAGACCAGAAAAAAGTACATATCCATACTTCAAGCCCATGTCAAAATGCACATAAGTACTAAGCTTCTTTCAAAAGTACAGCATTCTGTCAAATACTACCCTTGATCAAAACACAGCTGGTGTTCCATGAAGCTTGCGCTAGACAGCAAAATTCCAGAAGCATGGATTTCACAGACAGCATCTCCAAAAATAGGAAACAAACATTTCCTGTAACAGTGTCTAATGATTTCCACTGCAGGTATTATTAAAATTCATAGAAATCAATTTAGGCTTTCACCAAATTCTATTTTACTATTCTTCAGAACACTTCCAATAACTAAAGCCTCATTCATGAAATGACTTCACACAGGCATGAAGTTTGAAAACAAATGTAAAACACTTATGTCAAATTTCAAGAGATCTTAACTTTCATTCTGCATAAAGTGCATTTTATGAATAGTTTTTTAGAGTGGAGGGGCTATACTTGGAAAACAGCATCTAATGCCTCAAAGACCTTAAAACTCACTAGCTCACATTCATATATGCTGTATCTATTTGTTCTGATGAGCATAAACATTTCTTTTCACTGCTCTATCAATCATAAACCTATAACTACGGAGCAGGTAGAACTGCCCATCTTAGCAATATGCTGCAAGGTAATCATATTGCTTGAACCAGCTGCAGGAGACACTTCCATTTGCTAAAAGAAAAAAATGAGAACAACATTAACCGAAAAAAATCACTCCATTTTTCACATTTGGTTGCTACATGAGCCTGCTGTTTAATGCAGCAAAGGACCTAGTGACAAAGACTGTGGAAAAAAGAAAAAACACTCAACACCTGTTGTTTTGCCTGTTCATACTGGTAAGGTTTGCCATCAAGCCTCCCAGGTCTGAGCCTAGAAGCACTGTCTGCAGAAGAGCATCACCCAGAGCAAAAAAAAAGATTACGAGGCACTTAAAGAAACTGTATGTACATGTGACCAAGTACAATGCATCCAAGGATGCAGAATAAGAGAGGAGCAGTAATGCAATCTGGGAGCTATCATTTTTTAAATGTAGTTGAAACAGAGGGATGCTCTAGCTCACTGAAAGAGATAAAGGTCACATCTACCTTGAAAGGTCAAGAGGACCTTGAAAATTACAGACTGGACAGCATGTCCTATCCTCAAGCTCCCAGGGGGATTAGAGAGCAAATAAATCCTCCTAAGACCCATATCCAGAATCACAAGGCAATTGTGAGCATCCAGCATATATTCATGAAAGAGCAGATAGTGCTTAGCTTTTCATTACAACATGTCTGACTCAGAGGACACAGAAGACATGCAAGCTCAAAGTGTTATGATCAAATAGATTAATCCAAATTGCTGCCTGTTACTTGTGGCATTCATCTGCAATCAATACTGGCGCCATTACTGTTAATATCTTTAGTATTGATGCAGACAGCTCCTGAAAGACCACATCTGATACGCTGTGTTCAGTTCTGTGCTCCTCAGATCAAGACTGGAGCTAGTCCAGGGGAAGGCCACAAAGATTATTAGGGTGCCGGTGAACATAATGTACAAGGAAAGGCTGAAGGAACTTGACTTGTTGAGACTTCAGAAAGACAACTAGAGGGACATCTTATTGCTGTCTACAGTTATTGGATGGGGAGGGTACAAAGAGGACAGAACCAGACTTGAGAGGCCCAGGATATAAGGAGAGGCAGCAAAGGAAACTCCTATTAGATACAACAAAATCACAGAATGGTTGGAGAGGACCTCTGGAAGTTATCTTGTCCAACTACCCTGCTCAAGCATAGTCACCTAGACTTGGTTGCCTAGAACCATATCAAGGCAGCTTCTGAATATCTCCAAGGATGGAAACACCAGTCTATCCAGGCCACCTGATCCAGTGCTCAGTCATCACAGTATAAACATCAGGAAATATATTGTTCACCATGAGGTGGGTAGAGCACTTGAGGTTGTAGAATTTCATCCTTGGAGATACTCAGAAGTCCACATGGCACTGAGCAATCTGCTCTAAGTGGTCCTGCTCTGAACAGAGGGTTAAACTAGATGACCAAGGCCAGGCTGGATGGGGCTTTAAGCAGTTTGGTCTAGTGGAAGGTGTCCCTGCCCATGACCAGGGGGATTGGAACTAGATGATACTTAAGGTCCCTTCCAACCCAAACCACTCTACGATTCTATGACCTCTGGAGGTCTCTCCCAACTTACACTGTTCTATGATTCTGTGGCATTCTATTTATAAGCCAAAGCTTTCTTTCAGGACACAAAGCAACAGAATAGCAAACAGTATGATACAAATTTAGATTTCAGCTGAACACCATGCAGACAAAAGTGGTAAACCTCAATTTCCTATTCTAGCCTACCTTATCTCCAAGGTAACAGAAACATGACCATGAATACATTCTTACTTTGCATCCTGTGGCCAGTGCTGCAGATTTGAAGCAGTTCTCAACCTTTTCTGTCAGAACAGAAAGATCTTTCATTGAAGGGGCACGCAAGTAAAACTCTAGTTCAGTGTAAGAAGGAATGATGTTAGGTTTCACACCACCATTTTTTATTACACCTGCAGAAAGGGAAAAGTCATGTTATCAGTGTTAAATACAGCTGCTTGATCTTCAGACCTATCATGAAACTCCTTGCTCAAGAACTAAATATATAAACAAAAAACAACAAAACATCAGCATGAAATACAATGTCAAAAATACAGTAGGTGGACAAAGTTTCTTCATAACATCAGAATAAGTGAAATGCATGCATGTTTTTCAGCACAATTTCATTGCATTCTTTGGTTAGGTATCTGTTATAAACCTAGACAAGCCAAACTAGCATTTGTAACTAATCCCCTGAAATTCAATGCATCAGTCATGAAGCAACCTGGCTGCCATTAAAAAAAAAATGTTATAAAGGCTACCCTGGATTCCAACTTTTAAAGGTTTCCTCAACTAGAGTATTTCCAACTTGCTTTGCCAGCTTAGAGAGAAATTGTTAGTTGCCTCTCAACAATACTGTTATAACGTGTGTTGCAGCACACAAAGTTCATTAGATTCCTTGTACTAATTTAGAAATATTGGAACGTATAATATACATCGGTTTATTCAAGACTAAATCCCAGATAAAAACAGGATGAAAGGGTTCCCTCAAGGAAATGGGTGACAGCTACCTAGTTTTCAATTATGACAGATGCATTACCATAAAAGACCATAATATTTAGATATTTCAATAATAAAACATTGTAGACCTCAAATCTACTTTAGATTTCAATGCATTAACAGCCAGTTGCTTTCAACAGGCTGTTTGCTTCCCTGGCCTTCTACCCTTAATTGAAATATGTGGAGTAAGATTTGTTTTCTGTAGACCCTGAGAAACTATCTACCTTAGATGGAAATACTGCACAAAGTTACTGATGTATGTCACCAAAGCCTGAAGACAGCACTATCAGGATGCAAACGGGCAGCAAATCTTTATTTTTGATGCAGAAAGTCTATTAAGACTATGAACTCCCCCTCAAAACCTTCCCAGTCTCTAATACAGTTGAAGTAAACAAAGGGCTGAATTAAATCACTATCAGTACTAGTCCATAACAAAAAGGAACAGCTCAGATGAGACAGACATCACAGGAACCAGCAAGTCAGCAAGTAAGTAATCATGCAAATTCGCATGACACATACATAACACATTTGCCTGAAACAAATAGCATGAGTAAATGATTTTCACATGTCTTGCCCATCACATTTGTAAATGGAATCGGATCAAGTCTAAGAGTATGTCTACACTTAAACTTCAAAGCATCTGCAATGCAGACTGGACAGCAGGTCTAGTGTTAAAAGTAGGCTGCCCGCACACTACCAGTAGCACCCAGTCTGCCCTTCTAGATGGAACTTTTTTTAAAACCTGTTCAATACAACTTTTTGAACAGAAAAAAATCTACATTCCTATTTTTCAAGGGGGCAATATTTACTTCATTCATGAGCAAGGAAGAAAGATAACATCAAATATCAGACAAACTCAATCCAACAATGTTCCAGTACATAGAACACTTAGAAACTCTAGACTCTAACGGAAATTTCAGGTTTTGTTAGTGGGTTAACACTAAGATTTTCAGACTCACTTAAGTCAGCCACTGCTATTACTGCAAGTCTACAACACAAGGTCTCCAACACACTGTTGTAAAGAAAGCATTCCTAAAATTAAATCTCATTCCGGCTGTTTATACTTTCTCAAATGTATTTTAAATATTTCAAGTTTGAAAACCAGGTTTATGACAGCAGTTGTACCAACACACTAAGCTTTGCTGTGGTTCAGGACGCATCACCTCTAGGAGGCTTGTTTAGATAACTCTAATTTTTTGCCTACGTTACCCATGTAGTTCTTGAACTATGAAAAAAGCAGTATTTAGGGTTTTAGGCTTGGATTCAATAGAAGACTTAGGCACCTACAACCTTAAACCTGTGACACATGGGTTTCAGACTCATGAAGACCAAACTCAATAATTAAGTGCCTTGTTTCCTACAGAACAATAGGGTAAGAGAGGCTATGCCCACTGTCTGAAATTCATTTGGGTATGCTCCACAGCAGAATTGCTAACATCTTCATCTACAGCCAAAAGGGTTAGGGCTTCCAGACTCCATTCAGATATCCTGGAGAGAAATACACACATGTATTATACAGCACAAGCAGCCAAGACATGTAAGGATTAGCTCAGAACTTCCAGAAGTGTTTTAAGCTCATAACAAGTATTCCAAACAGTTCTACATTCAGAAGTCATGTAGAAATGACAAAGTTTCTTAATTTCAACTTGGAAAACATTGTGTTGTGTGCCACAAGGGAAACCTGGGTTTATAGCTAGAGGGCAGCTTCCATCTCAACTTCTGAAAATTTCTCCCCATACAAAAAGAAATGTGTGTTGTTGAAGCAGTACCAGTAAAGCTTAATGGTCAATATTTCTTACCGCAAAATGACCCTTCTACTCCAAGGTCTACTAGATATCACATATTAGAATCTAGTGAACGTCTAGTTCATTGGGCTACTAAGCAAAACTATGGGCTTCTGCCATCACTTGTGTTTTCTCCTTTGGCAAATAAGCTTTAGCCACTGTAGACCACTACACTTCCAATAAATGCCATCTAATTAAAGGAATGTCTACTACAAAAATGATGCAGTAAGCATATTTCATTTTTTCAGAAGCATTTAATCTTACACCTTTGCAAAACACATATTAACTTTAAGCAATTCAAGGCCATGTACCAGAATAAACTTGCACTATTAAATTTTTTTCTTTCTGAACTGCAATTTCAAGTGCAAAGACTTAAAAGTTGTCTAGCCTCTATCTAGATCCCTGTGTCCTCTTTTAAATCTGACCTATAAGCCTATTTTCAGCAGTTAGTTCTGGACACTGACATGACTTTAAAGATCACAGAAAAACTATTTGAATTAAATGGTGCTATTTAATAATATTTGAAATGACTATACTAATTTAGCAGTAACACAACACTTAATGGATTCTGTAAGTTAGTATTTCAACAGCCTAAACTCTTACTTGCTGAACATTAGGTTTAATGAAGATCTCACCATGAACTCTCCAGGTCGGTTTCATTTGCTGTCTTAAAACAGACAGATTGTTGTATGCAAGAACAGCAGCATCTAATGCATTAACTCCTTCCCAAGGATAAGCAGCAGCATGAGAAGCTTTTCCATAGTATTTCACAGTCACACTAGGAAATAAAAGGCATTGCTTATTTTTTTTAATGAAAAAACTCTAAAATAAAAAGTTCCTTTTGTTCACACAAATATTTGTTATTTAAGTTTTGTGCAGCAGAACGCCAAACAATTTACCTGGCACTACACTGTCACAAATTTGAACTACCTCTGTGCAGGAAGATGATGGAAGATTTCTAGGAAACCAATGAAATGGAACAATACAAAGAGCCAAGAGTTACCAGTAACATAACACTACACAGCCTTCTCCTGAGAAGTACAGGCTTCACATATTAAATTTCTCCAACACTTTTTATATTGCCTGACTATTCTGAGACTTAACATTACTAACATTCTTCTCAGAGGATAACAAACCTCTTTCTCCAATTCAAAATTAGAAGTTGATTGTCCTAATTCCTGTCAAATTTAAATAAAATGTGTACAGTATATGACAGCAAAAGCACATTAACAAGGATCACATACAACCTGTGTCTAAATAACAACTGTCGAGGTTTAAAAGCATAGTAAAGGCATAGTCTAGTATAAAATCTACATTACTATGCTACAAGCAAGGATGTTTTCCCTGCACACCAAGAAAATCTAATGTAAAGGTTATCCTCCAACTTTGCAAAAGTCAAAACACCGCACCTAAACATAGTAAGAAATCATGCTTTGCTTCATCTGAAGGCCATTTATATTAGCCTTACAGAACTTAGTTATTTCAATTATATGAATATTCTTTACACCAGGCAAATAGTACATACTTACAACTACATAAGGTATTACTATTTGTCAAATACAAAAATACTAGTTTTTTACCAATAGTAGAGACTTTAACTGAATCTGTTTGTACTCAAACCCAGCCCATTACATAAAAACCCTCCACCTTCAAGCTCAAAGTGTTCCCCCGCAAGACACAACCTGTCTCTTGCCAACTAGGACCAACCTAACTCACTTGTCCCTCTGTCTTGCACAAATGCCAACTTAGCCACTTATCCTGAACTGACCCCACATGCTCTGAACCACACTACAGCTGTAAGTTAATACCACAACTTAAATACTGGTTAGCAGAGGGACACAATGGAGTGTATAGTTGCAGCAGAAAACATGTCCTGCTTCTGCCTGCAATCCAAATTAAGTATGCCCTTATCTATCCCCCCTCATCCTCCAAAACAACCATACATCCCTTTCTGTAAAGTGTGTTATTTAAAATTTATCATTATGAAATCGAGGTAAGAGAACTTATCCATTAACAGCGCACAAGTATTAGACTGCAACCCCTCAAATCAGCTCACAAAGAAGACAGGACAGATCCCTTGGTATTCTCAAAAAAATGGAGAGAATGTAAAGTAAAGCAGAAAATCAAGTTGCAATAGTTTTTTCCATGGGACACACATGCTTCTTATTTAAAAATAAAGTTTTCAGCATTCCTTTTCTTGTACTTCTATTGTTACACAAATGTCACACTCTCAGAAAAAAACCCAACAGATTTTTGCTGAATAACAACCACTCTAAGCCAGTTTAAGAATATCAGCAGAAGAATGTGGATCCTGCTTGACCAACAATAAATAGACTGACTAAATGAAGGATAAGTGATTAAGAATCAGCAATTTTTGGCACATTTTCACCACTGCTATATCAGTATATTAATTTTACTTCAGGGGCAACCCAGCCTTCAGAGGTTGCAGGTATAGTAACACTAGAAATGTAGTGATCACCAGTCCATAAATTCCTTGAAAACAACCAGAGATCAACTATCTCATTACATAATTACTGGAATTTCATAATTACATAAACCACGACCAACTCAGTATTTCAAGCTTTTGGAAGTAAGTTTCACTCAATACTTCAGTTCCATGCCTGCTCCATATTTAAGCTTTAAAGGCTGTCAGGACTTGTATCCTATAGCAGATCATCACCTCTGAAGAGATATTTCCAAGTCTTACTGTATCAAACTCAAAAGGCTATTGCAAGAGTTGAAATGAACAGAAAAACAAAACTATCAATGAAAACTGCATCCTGAAGATTACAGTCTTAAGGTACAGCAACCAAAAGGCAAGCTGGGATAAGTCGTGAAGGAGATTACAATAACCAGTTAAGTCTCTTCAGAAACACAAGGATGAACTAAGAGCAGAGTGCTAGCTAGGGAAGGAAGACAAGGTGTTGCTGACCTTGCTGCTGTTCTACCATAAAGCTTAGCAGTAACAGAAGCAAATTAGCCACCAGGAGCAGCACTGGCAAAAGCAAAATGGCCAGCATGTAGGACCTGGAAGGTAGCAAAACCAAGCTGAAAACAGCTAACATCAAGTAAAAAATGGCTGGGAAACCAGTTATTTAAATGCTACAGAATTTAGTCAGAGACAGTCCAACGTAATACTTGAAAAAACGCACTGGAGGAAGGTTACTAGTGGAGTCTCTGCAAGACAAGACCCTGGGATCAAGAATCACTAGCAACTGGGACATAAAACGTAGTAACAGAACCTGCTGACAGACTACTGCTGGAACACACTGAAAACAGAAGAGCTTTAGAATATCAAAGGAAGAACAGCTTGGCCATGCAGACTGGCAGAGAAAGAACAGAATGAAGCTCAAAAACATTTTAAAAGATCATGTACTTCCAGACTAAGCATTTGCCTAAGAGTTGATTGCTTGACAGGGGCTGAAGAGGAAGCCCCAAACATGCCAGCTGTCTCCAGAATGATAAGGAGACACTACAGTCCCAGTATCAGCTGAGTAAGGTCTAAGGGAATTCCATCTCATGTATTGTGTACAACCTTGATTATGCACATCCAGCAAAGAGTGCTTAAAAGACAAGTCAAGTCACTCCCAAGTACAAATGAACAAGTGCTGTCACTAAACATTAGGGCTAATCAAAAGATGACAAGGCATAATTTCTGAAGAGTTATATGGCTAGGTGACAAAAAAACACTGAATGAGGGTATGACTGCTGTCTATACTTACACTGGGGGTAAACATGAAGGAAAACCAAGAACTACTTTGAGCTGAAAAATAAGAAGTTGATGTCAGAGTCAACAGATATAAAATGGCCATGATTAAATTTAGGCTGGAATTTAATAAGGCTGTAAACAGCAGTCAGGCTTGGTTGGCTGCCTCGCTCAAAAGTGCAAGAGAACTGATTCAAAACCGATTAAAATAAAATGCATAGAGGACTAAATGTCCTAGTGGCCCAGGAAAGCAAGGAACAATGATACATGAGACTCCCTTCAGCTGCGTTTTAATTTTTTTTTTTTTAACAGATAGGATAATCACGTGCATGTTTAAACAGAAATGCCTAGAAACATAAGAAATAAAAAGATTTGGGGGACACGTGGAAGATTATCTCTGAGCAGTCGGGGATCTTTAACACTATGCTGAACACGCGTCTTTGAAGGAATAGCTCAGTGTTCATAACGGCAACTCGGCTCCTGACTGCAAATACTTCGTCTGAAGGGCACCTACAAGGTCCCCATCACTAAGTTCAGCCCCTTACAAACCAGCTCCCCTATGGAGAGGCTGGGAAAAGGCTAATAACAAGCCACCTGAACCTGCTCACTCACTCGTGCTCGGCCACATCGGGCAGGTAAGCTGCGTTTTCTTGGGAGGGGTGTGCCATAAAAACCACATCCAGGCCATCAAACGCTCCAGCGTTTATCAGGTCTATTTTGCCTCCTCCTTGTTCTTCCGCAGGCGTCCCCAGCACCGTGATCTGCAGCAGAAAGGCAGAGAGTCAGGAGCCGAGGGGCCCACCGGGGCTGAGGCCCAGGGCCCCGCCCCCG